TATTATAAGAATTAGATTCGCTTAGTAAAATAGTCATACTTTTATCTCCCCAAGCTTGATAAATACAGACATTACCCAAACCAAGTTTCATAACACTAGGTTTAAATGAAAAATTAAAGAATATAATATCTTTATCTTGCTCATTACTTATATTTAAACATGGGCTGTAATTTGTGTATGCACATTGTTCTAAAATTCTGGCAGGATATTGTCCAAACCCTTGTAGAATATTGCTACCACCTATACTTAAAGGACTAGCATAATTAGTATTATATCATTCTTGTACAACATTATCATATGTAATTATAGGCGATCAATTTACCGATATAATACCCCCATTATACAGAATCCAATTATGTAATTTAGTTCTAGGTCTATGCCCATGTAAACTGTTTAGATGGTCTTTAAGCCGACTCCTACATGATAAAGCAGAACCAATACCATATTTACCAGTATTTTTGTGCTTAAAGCAATAAAGACCTGAACAATCTCCATCTACTACTTTTTGACTACCTAAAGGTAATTCAAAGACATTAATAGGATTTATAGTTTTGAATGTTAACTCCATATTATACCTAAAGACTGGATTGGATGCCTTACTTAAATAATCAAATAAGAAATTATCACCTTTGAACTTAGAGCTATTATCTAAAGGTAGTAAATTAAGCATATTAATTAAATCATGCGAGGCTTTTATTCCTTTTGGTGTTAAAAATAAAGGTAAACCTAATCTATTTTGTTCAAAAATATTCTGTATAATATTACTTAACAATAAACCTCCTCTAGTATTATCTTTCAGTATTGTAGAAAATGATGAATGAATGTCTAATTTATTTGTGTTTTCAGATAATATTTGAGCTTTACATGTATCTGAATTAGGATACAATTTTACTGGAACTAAAGGGACAATCGAATTATTATTTTTCTTGTGTTAAGCAAAAGAAGCGCAAAGTGTTTTTGTTTATTTTATTGATTTTTAATTAATGTTATTATACGCTACCATACCTGCGTTTTTAGAGGATCATTCTTTTGCATCATTCAAAAAGGTTCCTTTGAATAGGGGGTCACCGGCTGTTTTGGCCCATATTATGCTTTTTTTTTTTATTTGGGATAAATGGAATATTGTTATTTCCAATTACACATATATTTCCTTGTTCAATCAGCCATCGTTGTTAAAAATGACCTAGTTTTGGTTATTAAAGGTGTTTCCTTTCTATTTTAAATCTATTTACTTATAGAAAGATATTTATTAATAGAAAGCATGATTAAACAAAATTGATGATTCCTATCTTTTTTCTATAATATTTTACCAGTATTATCTCTTATCCCTGCAATTTAATATAATCTCCAGTTTACAAAGATAAGATAAATAAGGCAGCGATCCTTTTTGTCAACACCATTTCTCAATGGTGAGAGATCATATAATATTATTATTAATTTTTACTAATAATAATCTTGGCGTGTGATCGTTAAGGATTCTACTAAATATCATTAAATATTATTAGTTTCCTGCTGATTGTCCAATTAAATAAATATATAATTATTACTAAAATTTGTTTCTAAAAATTAAGAATTTTAGTCTTTTGGATTTCCAGCATATAGCCAAGTTTTTCATACCCTCCACAAAGAAGGCATGGTTGATTAAATGGAATAAAGCCACATTATATGAAGATAAACCTACAGCAATAACCATCATACCTAATTGCGAAATACTATCATTTTTTTTATAATGACGTAAGTTGGACCATTTCTTTATTAATCTTGATATTTCTCTCATCTATCTTTAAATTTAACTCATTCATTAAATTTGTTTATATCTTTATTTTTACTATTAACTCTCAATAAATATAATT